CGCCAAGAGCTCCTTTCTGATACATTGGACCTCCTGGTCCAATGAGAAAGTCCGACATGTTCGTGGGGAAAATTTGGTGTGGAAGTCCTGTTGCCATGACTTTATTCCAACCCATATAAACCCTACCCAACAGGATAGAAGTGATCCATGGGGCTTCCAATGCCGTCATCTATATAGAGGCAGACTGGCACATCTTTCTTTGGCAAGCAAGGGCTTAGACACTGCATCATCAGGGTCCCTTAGTATAGAAGTTCCTTCGTGTGTCTGTTGTTGGTTTTGTGTAACATTGAGTCATAGCTGCCTCATAGACGACCCTCCAGAAGTTTTTGAGAGGCAGTAAATCACACAAGAGGAGATTACCCTCCTTCTCCTGCAGAGCTGCTGGTGAACTTGAACCGTGTGCCTTTGGGATTGAAGAACAACTTCTTACAACTAGGCAGAGTGTATGTTGTTGTTGTTTGTTGTTGTTATGTGCCGTCGAGTTGTTTGCGAGTGTATGTAGGACTGGGAAATTGAGACGGTCGCTGATGGCTGACAGTACCAATTTTGTTAGACACAAGAGTAAAGGAAAAGGAAAGATGGAAGTATCTGTGAGTTGAGTAAGGGTTTCAGACTCCCATTCTAAAGATTCAGGAAGACACTAAAACATATCCCAGGCATGAAGGAAAGATCAGCTAAGAAAAGAACTTGTGAAATGTGGCATACAAGTGTACTAATCATTAAAGCCTAGACTTGTCACCCTATCCAAAATCATAAAATTTAACGTATGTTTAAAACTTACTTCTAGTGTTTGAAAATATTTACTTATATACTTTAAAAAAGAATTATTTATGGACAATTAAGTGGCTAAACAAGTTGTTACAGATTTCAATAGAAAATGGCAAATGAGAGAATGTAATAATTATTCTTGTCAGGCAGCCCAGGGCTTGGGAAAAGTCAAGTGTCAATGAGAGAGAGGAAGACCCTCAAGGAGGTGGAGTGACACAGTGACTGTAACCACAGGCTTAAGGCTAGCAGAGATTGTGAGGATGGTGTCACACAGTGCAAGGTTTCCACTTACTGTTCCCATCTGTGGTAGTCAGCTCTGTGACACCTAACAACAAAAGGTTGCCAAGGATATTGTTTACTGTACCACAGTAAGATCAAACACAGATGTGCTTAGACTGGAAACAATGTAGGGAGAAGAGGACTCAGAGCTGGGATAAGTTGGTGCCTCCAAAGGGACCAAGTACACATTCTCGGGATCCGTGACAACAGGGTCATCTGGGATCTTGACATATTATTACCAAGTCTTGCTCCTTCGTATTACACATGGAGTCCCCAGGCCTTAAATGGTCATTTATATTGCTCTTATTAGGTGCCATTGATTTGAGTATAACTCATAGTGATCCAATGAACAACAGTTTTGAACCCTGTCCTATCCTATGCCATTCTCACAATCTCTGACACACTTTAGCCTATTGCCAAGGTGAAGATGTCATAATATGACTATGTAACTAGCTGAAGGTTTTATGCTTATAAATTAGCAAATTGAAGTATATCTAACACTGTTGATTTATTTCTCTTGATAACCACACCTAAGCATGGGCTCTTGTAAGAATAAAATGGAATAATGTATATTTTATTGCTCAGTACCCCATGGCACAGCATAGATCTTCTCTAGTACAGTGATTCTCAGCTTGGGGCAGCTTTACAGGACATGCAGCAACTTCTAGAGATAATTTTGATTGGTACAATGGGTGAGACTTGCAGGAGAGATGTTACCTACTTGCCACCATCAAGCAGGTAAAGGGCAGTCATGCTACTGAATGCTTCTCCAATGTACAGGACCACTTCTACAACAAAGAATTATCCAGACCCAAATGTCCATAATGCTGAGGTTAAGAAATATTTTTAGTAACTGGGGATGGGTTAGAAACTACACCCTTCCAAACCGAGTCTCATGAGAAGATCTTACAGTTAAAATATTTGGAAATCTGCATCTTGGAGCTACTATTTGCTTCCAGCAAGTTATTCAACCTGAGATGTGAGTTTTAGTTACTACGTAGGATAACAATATTTACTTTATGATGCTATTAAGGGGCTCAGTGGTGTGTTTCTTAGCCCAATGCCTCATACATGGAAAGACTCAGTTTTGCTATTATTACTATCAGTCAAAGGCATTGCAAGCATTATGTGGGAATCTAGAGAGGTACCTTGTTTTAGTAAACTACACAAGAAGAACATGGAAAAAATTGGAAACATGTTGATAGTATTATTACCTTAATAATAGCCTATAAAGCATAAATCACTAATGTTTTCCTAATATGCATTCTATTTTGTATTGGGCTCATAATAAAATAGTGCACACACATAAATGATTGGGAAATAACAATCTGTTAACACAGAGGAAGTAGTCAGTCTTTACTTTGAAAGAAATTTCTTAGACACCAACTTTTTTGGCATTGCACAAATTCTTCTTGTCAGCCATTGCTGTCCTTCCTATGCTGCTTTCTTAGAAAGGCTTTATTTGTAAAAGAATGTTTGCATCTAAAATTGCATTTGTTATTTCGTGATCTCATTTCCCAGATCTCTCCACTCCAACACAGTTTCCTCTGAAACCATCTCAGTATTTTTGACATCACAAACAATTTACTTGAATTTAAAATATATTACAGTGAGGTTTTTCCAATCTAGATTTTCTTATAATCTATTGTGACTGCCTCCAACGGAGGCCAATCCCCTATGCAATATACTAATTCAACTGGCAATAACTGCCTTTTTAATTCCTTGGTGTTTGTCTCTTCATGGGTTTTCACTGAATGGTTAGTCAGGTAACCAGAGAGCTGCCACATCTCCAGTACTGTTAGTTTCCCTCTTTCTCTCCAGCTGCTCCCTCTCTGTCCAGTCTTCACTCCTGGGTCCCTCAGCCATCCGGATGGTGTCATGTGTCTTTTCTGCCATATTCACAACTAAATAATTTCTCTTTACCCTCACACAACAGACTGGACTCCACTCTCCCAATGTTCTTCAGATTCTATTCATGTATTATTCAGGGAGTAGAGCAGCTTCTTTGGAAACTTTACAGCCAGTACACTCCCCTCCATTAGAGAATGCAGGTATAGGGAATAAGGAAGAATGGAGAGGCAGAATCCAAAAGAGTGGTGGGAGATAGGGTAAAGAGGTACACAGCTTATTAGAGAAAGAAAAGTTGAGGGCAAATAGAGCAGTTGAAATGACCTTGGGAACCAGCTGTCCTAATCCCTTTCATATACAGAAGACATCTCTACATGGATGAGGGACCTCTGGTGGCCTAGTGCTACAATTCTAGAAGCGTGAGGATTGAATCTACCAGCAGCTGCTCTGCAGGGGACAGATGGAAAATCTCCCCTCCTCTGACTACTGCCTCTGAAAACCTGCTGGAGGTGAACTTAGAGTCAACTCTGGCAAACGAGAGAGAGAGAGAGAGAGAGAGAGAGAGAGAGAGAGAGAACACGCAAGAGAGAGTAAGAACTTGTATTCCTGGCATTGCTTAAGCTGCTAGGTTAAGGTTAAATTGACAACTGGAACCTACCAACCACTCTGAGGTAGGGAAAAATCCCTGATCAGCTCCTATGAAGACTACAGACTAGAAAACCCTGTGGGGGGCGTTCTATTTTATCTTTAAAGGCCACTATGAGTTAGAAGTGAATCAACAGCATACACAATAATAACAAAACTTGTATATGTCTGTGTCTGTGTGTGCACTCAGCTTCACATACCTGCAGAACCTTGCCAAGCACTGCAGTGGTCTCATAACTTTTTTTTTCTGTTTCTCTTCTGAGCTTCCCAGCAAGCTGTGAAAAAGCATGAAGTGCTGGATTATTGTCATCTTCGCTCTCTCAGATGAGAAAATTTAAATTCAGAACGGTTTTTATTTACCCAGTCTTCATCCATCCAGAGTGCTTGTTGTTACGTTCTTTTGAGTCAGAACCCCCATCGCTGACCCTCCAGCAGGTTTTCAGAGTCTGTAAACAGCCTAAGAGCAGATGACCGTTCTTTCTCTCACAGCTAGTGGGTTCAAACCTTGTGCTGGCAATGCACTTCCTAACCACTGAGCCACCAGAGCTCCTCACTACCCAAAATGGTCAGAGACAGCAAGCCGAAAGGAGGGAAATAGACCCCCATCTCAGCTAAATGGAAGCCTCCTACACCAGAGATTCGATGGCACTTAACACCACCACCAACACCACTACCAAAGATTTGTGAGAAAAGTCCACAGGAGAGTAAAAAATATGGGGAAGATGAATGAGAAGTCAGATAAAATGGAGGACAGTGGGCACTGGTGTTGAGGAGATAAAGAGATGAAAGAATGAAGTGGACAGGTGGCGAGATTTTAAAGAAAAGCTATAGAGATGAGAACCATTATGCAAGGACCAACACCGGGAAAGTCAGCCATGGGCCTTATGTCCTCAACCCTGCTTATCCATTCAAAAAAGCTAAGCGAGCCCTAGGAACACTGACTTCTAATACCCAAACCAATAACAACATATCTTCACATCATTCTTTGCCAGATAGGCTTTAATTCATAATGCACTCAAAAGAAAAAGGCGATAGATACGAGGACGTTGTTCTTTGAGGGACAATTACACTAAAAAATGCTGCACTTGGACTGACCATTTGCTGAAAAGTTGGAGAAGGGGCTGGTGACTGCAGAGCCACCTCCTGCCTTTTCCACCGTCCCCACCCGATTCCCCAAGCCTCGCCTTGGTTTCTTGATTTGTCTGGCCCAGTAATATACTACCAATGGCTTTTTAAATTTTATATATATATATATCAAAACAAAGTTTCTGGGGGTTGTGATTAAAACAATCCCCAATTCCTCTTCATCTCCTTCTGAAACTTTTTTATTGACATATTTTAAAAATCCCATTCCTTCTCCAAGTGCATTGTCCTATAGTTCTTTAGTTTGGGGAGAGAACTGAAGGCAGGCACAACCCACACGCAGCAGTCTCTAATGGGAGGGAAGGGCTGCCTCGCAATCAGTCCTGGTGCGCCCCCTCCTCCCCCGGCACCTCTTCCCAAACCCCGTCGGGTCTCCAAAGGCTCGTGTACGGGGTGCGACTGTAGCCCGCGCCGTAATCGTAGGGCGCCTGGTGGGGCGGAGGAGGCGGCAAGGGCAGGGCGCAGTCTGGGAAGAAGGGAGAAAAAGAGGCTAACTGGCCAGGCCCGTCCTCCCCGCCGGGAGAGTCTGCAGCAGCCGGGTACAGAGGACGCAAGGGCTCGTTCAAGGTCAAACCGCCACGGGCGACAGCCACTGGCATCTTCTTGGCTGCAGGAGCCGGAGCGCTCCAGGATTCGGGGTACAGCAGGCTCCCCACCATCGAGGGCGGCGGCTCGAATAGGCCAGACTCCAAATCTGGGGGTCCCCGTAAGGCAGTGGCTCCCGCGGGAAACACATCTAGAGGCTCAGCCGCCAGCAAGACACCCGCCTCGTTGCCAGTGCCGTAGTCAGGCTCCAGCAGCTCGAAGAACTCCGCGGCCTCAGCGCCCTTCTCCAGGTCGCCCAGACTCACGCCGGGCCCGGCCGGGCCGCAGCCGCCGCCCCCAGCCTGGGATGGCTCGGTGAAGAAGGACGGAGGCAGGTTACGGGCCCGCAGCGGGACCTTCCTGGTTCCCGGAGTCACCGCGCCCCCGGCGGGGCTGACCTTGTCCCCTCCGGCGCTCCCAGCGCTGGTCCCGCTGAGCCCGGCCGCGGGCGTCACCACAGCGCCCCCTGCCGGCTCATCGCTGGCGGGGACGTGGTGCAGCGAGTCGAAGAGCGCGGCCAGGCTCCGGCTCTGCAGGCTTGCAGCTGCGGCTGCCTGAGACGCTTCCCGCCGCGGGGCTGCCTTGCCATGGGCCGGGACGGCGACAGTCGGTGCGCTGGGGGCTGCAGGCGACCGCTTGGCGGGAGTGTCCGCGGCACCAGGAGAAGGTGGGCCAGGGGGCGCGGCGCCCATGAGGCCGCTGCAGCGCTTGATCTGCTTCTGCAGGTACTTGCGGTGGTTCACCTTCCGCTTCGACTTGCCCGGCTTGTCCAGTGCCAACTTGATGTTGCTGGACGCCGAATCGATGAAGCTGAGCAGGTCGCGGGTGGCCTCACGCACATCCCCGCCCTCGGCTTCTGCCACCAGCGTGCCCGTCGGTGCCCTGTTCTCGTCGTCCTCAAAGCAGCAGCCCTTATCCAGGGCTCCGAAGGCGCCTCCCAGCCCGTCCGAGGCGCTCGCAAAGCCGAAGGGGACGAATGGATGCGGGCTGAGGAGTGCAGCCTGCACAGCCATCGCTGCCGCTCCGGGGCGGCCCAGCCCGGCCGTGCGCCCTCCGTCCGCTCACGGCCAGCGAGCGGCCCAGGCTCTGCTCCTGCCCCGGTGCGGCGCGCACGGCACAGGCTCCTCGCTGCCGGCAGGAATCGCTACTCAGCCTCCCAGGGGAGCTCATTAGGTCTTGTGAGTCTGGGGCGGAGGAAAGGAACACGACCAGACCGCCCTGGCAGAGGGGAGGGGCTTATTTAGCCCCTTGGGTTGAGGGGGGGGGGGACGGGCATGCTTTTCTAATTTTCTGGGCTTTCATCGCTTTAACCCCTTCGTTTCTCTTCACTCCAAGCAGATGAAGAGATGTGCACCTCTTATTCTAAATCTTGCTACCATGCCCTGGTGTGAGAGACCCTCCCTAGAAGAAAAGCCTGGAGCTGTAGGTTTCAGTCGAAGCTCTGGGAAACATTGTAAGCCACAAGCTAGTGAATGGCTGCAAATTGAAAGGTGACAGTTTGAACCCACTAGTAGTAGCTCTTTGATAGAAAGATAGGCAATCCCCTCCCGAGAAAAGGTTTCCAACCTGGGAAAGGCCACGGAGGGTTGAAATCTACTCCGTAGCAAAAGATGGTTTGGTTTAGGTTTCTTTTCTCTTGTTTTCTTCTCTTCTCTTCTCTTCTCTTCTCTTCTCTTCTCTTCTCTTCTCTTCTCTTCTCTTCTC